GAAAGCTTATCTTGAAAATGTCGTAAGCGAGATTCGGGCATCTGTCAAATATCTTGTGTTCTGTGATGGATACCGCCACAATATCTGCATTAAATGTTCGAGGTGGTAGGACCTCTTGTGAGTCCGCGCCGGTAGGTGCCACCACCCTGCCTATTTCTGCCGTGAAGCAGTAATGCGTTTCGGCTTGAAGGGCAGGGCAGCCGTTGTAACTGTATTGAGACCTTAAACTTTATGTCTCAAGGTGGGTGGCGCATTTACGTTGTAGATGTCTATGGGCTCCAGTAACCACTTAACATCAGGTGGGCTGTGAGCTCGTCCACCCATCTAAGCAATAAAAAAAAAGTGTTTGTGCTACGATTATATTCGATCTAGAATATCGTTCTATTCGAACTAATTGAGTGGGAGTCTCTGTCGTCCGTGCCTTGTTGCACGTACTCAATCATTTCAGACCATTTCAATAGTCTCGTGCCTTATCGCAGTCGAGTTCGGAGAGAAGGGCAAGGCGTTTAAATAACTTATTTTTTTAAGAAACTGCAACTGTATAGTAGAAAGTTAGTTGGATAAATAATAGTTTAAAAAAGACTAAAAAACACGCTTTATATAAAATTCAACTAAAAAATAGAAAATAAATTTAAATTGAAAATAATGTAAAAAAATATAAATTTTATGTAAAAAAGCTTGGGGTGCTATTGAAGCTAATATAAAGCGTGTAAAAACAAGTATTTCGGAAAATGGGATCGGTAAAAACGACTGCTCATAATCTCTGGACACAAGAAGACACTTGCGGCTAACAATTATATAGTTTAATCCTGTGTGTGTTTTAAGGACTCCGAAATATCCAATACTTTGTGTTAAATGTATGTTTTTTTTTATTGCTTAGGTGGGTGAACGAGCTCACAGCCCACCTGATGTTAAGTTGTTACTGGAGCCCATAGATATTTACAACGCAAATGCGCCACCCATCTTGAGATATAAGTTCTAAGGTCTCAGTATAGTTACAACGGCTGCCCCGCCCTTCAAACCGAAACGCATTACTGCTTCACGGCAGAAATAGGCGGAGCGGTGGTACCTACCCGTGCGGACTCACAAGAGGTCCTACCACCAGAAAATATATGTACTTATATGTTGATATTGCTGTTAATGTCGTTGTTTCTATAGCAACATACACTTTTGAACGTTGCAACAAAATGTCTTGGTGAGTACGTCGAACTAAAAAAAAACTAACCGAAGAAAAAAGACCTTTCATTAGTCACATGGTCTTTTTTTGCCAGTCTAGGCAGACGAGCATACGGCCCACCTGATGGTGAGTGGTTACCGCCGCCCATGGACTTCAGCAATGCTAGTGGCAGAGCCAAACCGCTGCCTACCGTTAAGTACTCTCCGCAAGCCTCGTTTGAAGAAGGATATGTTCTTTAAGTTCTTCCAGAAAGGTCTTACAGTCTTACTGTCTACGTTTTGATGATACAATGTGTTTAGTTTTCGCGTGTTGTTTTAGGCCTCACGTACGGGAAAAGTACAAGGATTTTGTTATGAAATTAGTGAAATTAGGTAGCCCTATGTTGCCTACGGATCAGCCACCAGTTAGCTGTAAATGCCAGTTTATTTTAAGTATATTTCAGCAACGGCTCTGGTCATTAGTTGCTATTTAAATCCGTTGCTTTCCTTCAACGAGTCGTTCAAAGAACTCAGGTAGTTATTTTTGGTTGCGGATCTTCTGTCTCTCACTTCCTCGTGTAGCATTGGATCTTACGTCCTCCTCCCACCAGTCTGACATCGGTCACGTACGCATTTCGTTACCAAATTTTTTACCTTGTTTCTTGAGGCTAGATTTTTTTTCGGAAGTCAATAAATTATATCTGATTATTTATTTGTGGAGCGACTGACTTTATATTATTTTTATTCACATTAATTTCATATTTCGACCCAATTTGTATTGCATAAAATGCAAAAGTTTTGGATCTGCGAAGCGTTTGCGAGCGGTTCATCCATTGACAAGAAGCTTGGTACAGTTGTTGACATATCGGAGACGGCTTCGTCATTGAAATGATGACAGGCGTTGCGCGAGTAGATCTAACAAGTCAGTACTCCACACTTTTTTTTCTAATCACTGGTAGTCTAGGGGGCTATTCCAGCGTCACCCAGTAAGTGAGCTGACGAGGCTCAAGCTGGAGTGTTGCTTACACTAACCCCTAGCAAGAGCAGTGCTTCACAGAATCTACCAGCGAGGGGAATCGCGACCCACTGATTTTTTCTCTCTCCTACCTATGCTGATAGCCTTGAGAGGTTATTTCAGCTTCGCCTTGAGGTGTAGGTGAGCTCACGGGAGGGTTGCTAACACTAGGCCCTAGCTAGAGCAGTGCTTCGCAGAATCTACCACCGTATCGAAATCGCCACTGAGAAGATCCGGCGAGTAACGTGGGCTGTGTCTATGGACTCTACACATACAACGATCCTCTCACCGTAGTTTGATTCCTTTTCATCAGTTCTAAATAAAAGAAGATTCTCATTGTTGGGTGAGTGAATGTTATTGACGCTGATAAGTTCGATTATTTATTCATGTAAAGATTCATCCAGTTTGCTTAAATTTTTACTACTTACCTGAAATCTGTAGAAATCTGGATATTGCATGCTGAAGGGTCCTAGATAAAGAAGACAATCAGATTGGGAATACTAGCTTCAAGGCAGATACTCGACTTAACCAGAATTAGTCGCATACCAGTTATGATCACAAACCAACTGCACCAACTAAATAATATAAGAAATTTCGTAAAATCTAAGTTTAAATACACCACTTTAGTGTACCATTTTAATTAGTTATTTAGCAAAACGCTGGATTCGCATACGAATGGCTTTTAAATGAGACAGTCAATCAAGATAATTCGTTATTTAAACAAAAAACATAAAATTATTCAGACGTGCTCGATGCTCACGTGGATTGGGTCTCAGAGATGGAACTGTAATAATATGCTCTTGCTTCGAATCGTGTGTGTATACTAGAGAAGATTAAAAATCTTTTAAAAGACTTCCCGACCCCTCTTGCGTCACGCGGTGACCAGAGAAGATAGAAAGAAAAGTAACCAACCTTACTATTCAAACCGGTGTGCTTATTATGAGTTTTTTAACGTTCTCGAAAGCTCAAATTTGTATGCTATGTAAATATGTATAAAACGGCTTTTCGGTAGTCAGCGGCTTGGCTTTGAACCTGGCATTGCTGAAGTCCATGGGCGACGGTAACCACTCACCATCAGGGGGCCGTATGCTCGTCTGCCTACAATAAAAAAAAAAGAACGTTCCATCTCCACACAAATATGAGTTAACTTTGACGCTATCGAGAACGTTAGAATTATCTCACTAAGTTCACTGATTTCACATTAGTTCGTGATAGAAGTGCGATGTTACCAGGACTCGGGACATCCCATATCTATTGCCACCAGGTTCGGAAATATATTAAATATACTAAAAAGGATCTGTTAGTTTAGAGAAACCCACGATGATGCTGTTGTAACTGCATTCCGTTAACCCATCTCTAGTAGTAGTATGCTCTACTTAATTACCTTATTACTCCCTAATACTCCTAGCTCAAACTTTATATTAGGCAGGGCGTTATGCGTTAAAGGTTGGATACTATTTATACATCGAAACAAACCTATTTCGATATAATAAAAAACATTATTGGTATACAAATTTATAGTATAGTATAGCACACACACAATCCATACACGCATATCATCATCATCATCATTTCAGCCTATCGCCGTCCACTGCTGAACATAGGCCTCTCCAATAGATTTCCAGTGCGACCGGTCCATTGCCACCTGCATCCAACGAGACCCAGCGCTTTTTACTAGGTCGTCGGTCCATCTAGTAGGTGGCCGTCCCACACTGCGCTTGCCAGTACGTGGTCGCCACTCCAGGATCTTTCTGCCCCATNCCAGTGCGACCGGTCCATTGCCACCTGCATCCAACGAGACCCAGCGCTTTTTACTAGGTCGTCGGTCCATCTAGTAGGTGGCCGTCCCACACTGCGCTTGCCAGTACGTGGTCGCCACTCCAGGATCTTTCTGCCCCATCGACCGTCCTCTCTTCGTGCTATGTGGCCGGCCCATTGCCACTTCAGTTCACTAATTCTACACGCATATAAAATAAATTATCTTCTAGATTTATCTAGATCAAACACCGTTTAAGATCTTCCGAAATTAATTATTAACTAGTACGTTAAAAACAAATAAAATTTCAAAAACTTATTTAAATATTTTACTAAAAATATTCGAAAAAGATTTGAAAAACAAAATTGAAACTGATAGACACCCTGTACAACAACAATATCATTATTACAGTTAAAGTCAATTAAACATGCGTTATTAAGTATAACTCAACAAATTACTGGTCAGATCTTGATAACATTTAAATGAGACCACACGAGAAGTACCTGCTTTCAAATTATAACAAAAAAGAATCATGATAAGCGGTTCGTTTGTTAAAAGCAGTGAAGGATCACGCATGAAAAGAATTCATTACCGAATTGAGGACCTCCTTTTTGGAAGTGGGAAGTCGTCGTGGCCTAAAGGATAAGACGTCCGGTGCATTCGTATGTAGCAATGCACCGGTGTTCGAATCCCGCAGGCGGGTACCAATTTTTCTAATGAATACGTACTCAACGGATGTTCACGATTGACTTCCACGGTGAAGGAATAACATCGTGTAATAAAAACCAAACCCGCAAAATTATAATTTGCGTAATCACTGGTGGTAGGACCTCTTGGGAGTCCGCACGGGTAGGTACCACCACCCCGCCTATTTCCGCCGTGAAGCTGTAATGCGTTTCGGTTCGAAGGATGGGGTAGCCGTTGTAACTATACTGAGACCGTAGAACCTTATATCTCGAGGTGGGTGGCGCATTTACGTTGTAGATGTCTATGGGCTCCAGTAACCACTTAACACCAGGTGGGCTGTGAGCTCGTCCATCCATCTAAGCAAAAAAAAAAAAAAGTGGATTAAAAATCCTCTAAATTCGGTTTCGGTTCATCATTTGAGAACGTATTTAGTTAAATATTTTCCTTCCTTTAACTCTCAATATCACAAAAAGTTGAAATGTGAACTCAAGTGATTTGATCTCTCAGGAGAGGACGGACGGAAGAGGATATAAGAAGATGACGTATCTTGGATAAGAGTAACATTTTGACGCTAATCCGAGCTTCCCGGATTTTAAAGTGGCACATAATATCACCTCACTTCAACGTGCGGGACGATGGTCCTGACATTTTCCACCACGAAAAAATAGCACCCAAAATATTGCATTTCTACTTAAATAGGTTTATATTAAAATCATTGGCACCTAAATCTCGAAAAACGACACTGTCCAGTTTACAACAACTTACTTTACAACAACAGTTTACAAACAACAACTAAATGCGTCAAACAGTCTCGAATAGATTATCCGAGACAAACATAACATCAATCATAAGGTGTCCAAACCTAATTGTACTCATATTTAATATCATCTGAAGAGTTAATCAAGCTTATGATCTTCGGCTGGAGCGCCATTGCTCTCTCACTCGGTAGACTCCTGAGAACGGAAGCTACATAAGTCCCGAAATCGTCGAAAACATCTTGCTTTCGGGTCGTTCTCGTCTTTAGCTGCTCAGAAAGTTTCTCTATAGTTCTTATCAAGCTCTGTAAGTCTTCTTTGTTGTTCTCGGTGACGTTTGATTCGCTCTCTTCTGAATCACTGACAATTTCGATTTTAACGTTGGGCAAGGATGGCTGGAAATAAAAAGGGATTTAGACATGGAGAAATTATTTCATGGTTGTGTTGAAGCAATTGCGAAAGCCTTTCAAGTAACAACTTACGCAACAGGTTAATTACTGTAGAAATAGGCAGAACTATGGTGCCAAAAGGTGTGACCTCGGTGCGTTAACCACTAGTTTTAGCAAAGAGTTTACCTTGTGACGTTCGAAAACTCCTTCATCATACTTTTTATGTTTTTTAAGGGGGATCTTTAACAACATAATATCATTAAGGCATTAAAGGCTAGGTTTAAAAAATACACATGTACTACAAAAATCTATACTGTCATTACCGGGGAAGTAATTACAGACGGATCAAAATCATTATCTTGTTTATGTGATTCTGGGCCACTCTGATGTCACTATTGTAAATTGTTTGTTTGTGTTTGCGAGTTCACTGTGACGAAGGATCCCTTTGGCATAGTGCCGCAACTCCAAGGAGTATCCCTGCATCTTCCAAGAGTATTGGCATACTTGGAGTCGACATTTCGAGCGATGTCTAATTTTGGTGTCATTTGGAGAGCAAAGCCAAGTTCGCGTCAAAAATGCTGGGAGTCCTTAACAGAGCGAAGCGGTACTTCACGCCTGGACAAAGACTTTTGCCTTACAAAGCACAGATCCGCCTATGCGTGGAGTACTGCTCCCACCTCTGGACCGGGGCTTCTAAAGCTACTTCCATTCGACTCCATACTAAATAGAGCCGTTCGGATTGTCGCTAATCCCATTCTCACGGATCGTTTGAAACATCTGGGTCTGCGTAAGGACTTTGGTTTCCTCTGTATTTTGTACCGTATGTTCCATGGGGAATGCCTTGAGGAGCTGTTTGAGATGGTACCATCATCTCGCTTTTACCATCGGTGGCGGCCCCGCGTGGCGTAAGCAGCGCCGTGTTTCGCAAATAGGACCGGATTTGTCGCTGCCGACCGATCATAGCTACGATGCTTGGCAGCGACGATTCTTGGAGGACAATGCTCGACCTCTGCGATTCTAACATTTTGTAGAAGGAGGCAACGTAAAGAAAGAGCTCATCTCTTTCCGCACCGATCCGTCGCCGCCGAGCTGGGGGCCGAGAAAGGACTTTCACCCAGTTCCGACCCCTCTAGTAGGCGACCTCCTCCTGGTGAAGGTTACGGGACCACCTAAGGATGGAGGCCACGTGTCGTACTACCTGCAGTCCAGCGTGGAACCGCTGTGTAAGAGCAACCGGTTGGCAGTCATCCCAACCCAGAAGCCTGGTTCTGACCCAACAGGGTATCCCGGAACACTAGGCGGCTTAACGGGCCATCGTACCGAGACGGCCGACGTTCCAGAGCCTTCGTTTCGCCTCGAAGGTTGAGTCGACTGGGCGTTCTTAGGATGAGCCGCGAGTCTGGTTGGAGTGTTGACTGCGGGAGCCCCCTACTCTGCCTGGGTTCTCACTTCAGGCGGAGTTCGGACGTCGGGTGAGAGAATGCAAGGAAGACGTTTAGTGGATAGAGCCCCAAAATACTATGCTTGGGCCCGCGGTCCGTTCACAACATCTGAGAACCAGCTGAGAGTTTCAACCCTCAGTCCATGAAAAGGGAGAGTTAGAGAATAATCTAAACGAGCTGATGTTAATATCTACAACGATCATCATTTAGGATCCTTAAGAATAATAGTGAAATATGAAACTATTTCAATCAAAATACGGTGTTGTTGTTCTGTTAAAAAAAAAACTGCATTAAAAACTAAGCTAAAAATAGAAAAATGTACATCTGAAAAAGTTCATTTACAATACAGTTTTATGACTAACAAAGCGCATAACATTTACGATAACGACCCAGTCAAGGTCGATACGAGATCGCGAAAACAAAATGTACCATTACAGTCGCGTCTGGCGTCGGACACGGCACGTGCGCCCGCAGAAACGAATCCATCTTCGCGAACCAGACTTTAGGCTTGAAGGAATCCCTCCTTCTACCACCGGACATCTTTTTCAGTTCCGCGCAATACGAGTTACGTAGATTCTTTATTTTTGTCGTAACGTGGTGCGCTTCCAGCTTCCTCACATTCAATTCTTTGACTATTCGTTCGATAGCTTCGTTCCTTTTCGTCTTGTATCTATAGACGGGTAATCGTGAGTTCCAGAGACACTCCTCTCTTCGGTACAAATCGATTAATTCTAAAGTTTTCGCTTCGCTTAATCGCATTTTGGTACCCGATTTAGACATTTTAAACTTTTATCGGTTTGTAAAATTATAGGAAATGCATATACGTGCGGACGCTTAGCGCACTCGCGCTCTACTGAATTTTATATAGAACTAGTGACAGTTGCGATTAGTAAGTGTGACCTATGAAAGTCTGCGGAGCAAAATAATGATATAAATCCGCCTAAAATAGTTTTCGCTTATTTTAAATACTTAACAAATAACAAAAAACAGACTAATATTAAGAAAGTTCACTCAAAAAATTGTAAAGAACTATAAGACCGCGTGTTGATGCTAAAATAACCCGGATTTTTTTTTTGCTTATATGGGTGGACGAGCTCACAGCTCATCTGGTGTTAAGTGGTTACTGGAGTCTATAGACATCTACAAGAGGTCTTACCACCAGTAATTACGCAAATTATAATTTTGCAGGTTTGATTTTTATTACACGATGTTATTCCTTCACCGTGGAAGTCAATACATCAAGGACATATCTGACACAACTAAAAAATGTTTGACGGACCAGCTGATGTTAAGTAGTCATTAAGTCATAGACATAAGAACGTGAATGCCGTATAATATTCCTCATCAGCAGCAACTACTCTACCATTATACCTTCATTTTATCATAAAAAACATAAATAAATCCATAAACATATACTAAGTGTTTCCATGATGAAATATTAAAATGATGACCAGCAAATCGTAAAAGAAATTACATAAGTCATAAAGATATCGACATATATATATAAGATCGTCATATACATGTATAAGATACATAAGATCGTCGTATACACGTCGACGCGCGCAGACCTCTGCCGCCGCGCCGTGACCTAGTGAACATTAAAGATTATTCAGACTCACAAAAGATTATCATAAGTGTTGTTAATTGTTAGACGCACGCAGATCCCCCTAATATCGCTCAGCCAAATAAAAATCTAGTATACCTATGACATTTATTTTTAATAGCTACTGAATTATATGTCTTTTATCCGGAGTAATAAGTTCTTTAGGTTACGTTCTTACAGACGTTCTTTTTAAGTTCTCATTTTTTTTTTATTGCTTTGATGAGTGGATGAGATCACAACCCACCTGCTGTTAAGTGGTTACTGGAGCCCATAGACATCTACAACGTATATGCGCCACCCACCTGGAGATATAATTTCTAAGGTCTCAAATATAGTTACAACGGCTGCCCCATCCTTCAAACCGAAACGCATCACTGCTTCACGGCAGAAATAGGCAGGGCGGTAGTACCTACCCGTACAAGACGCACTTCCAATTACCATATCATATTGGTATAATTACCGATAATTCTGCCTGTATTACAAAGAAACGAAATTTTGATATCGTTAAACAATGCTTTTTCTGATTCTGTTTTTATCTTTTGTATACATTTTGATGTTCTCGAATGAAAAAAAATTGAGTACAAAGCGCCTACTGTGTTTTGTTTCCTAGCAGGGCCGTTATCAATGCGTTATCAGACAAATAAAATGGCGCGACACAGTTGGTAGTTTGATAAAGTGAGTCTCGGCATAACAGTGTCATAATTCCAGTTCTTACTGCATCTTATCGCGACTGTGTCAAGGAAAACCGGCTACGTTATGATTATCATGTTAGCCGAATGATGTCCACTGCTGAACAAAATTCGCTGAATCGAATCAAAGTTCCATTGAAAAAGATGTAGACTAATCTTATATATAAAATTCTCGTGTCACAATGTTAGTTACCATACTCCTCTGAAACGGTTTGACCGATTTTTATGAAATTTTATATGCATGTTTAGTAGGTCTGAGAATCGGCTAATATCTGTTTTTCATACCCCTAAGTGATTAAGGGTTGTCCACTCCTAAGATTTATTTTTTATTATATAGACATATTTTTTTTCGTTATAATGAGGCATTATGTGGTTGAATGAGGTTTTGTTATTTTTATATTACCTCATCGTTCACAGCGCTACATGTCCTCTTTCATTTACCACATCCTTACACACTTACAATAAGTTGGGTTTTTTTTCTACACTAGAAATTCCCTAGAAACCTTATATATTGCCTAACAACGTTTGCCGGGTCAGCTAGTTATTAATATAGAATTGGGATCGTGACGCATAAAATAAAACTGTTCTATATATTTTTTTCCTACCTACTCTAGTAGCCTCGAAGGGTTATTCTAGATTCACCGAGCTAGTAGCTGAGCTCGCGGGGCTCAAACCGGGAGTGGTGCTAACACTGGCCCCAGCAAGAGCAGTGCTTCGCAGAATTTACCACCGGATCGGAAACGCGACCCACCGAGGAGAAGATCCGGCGAGGAAATCAGTGGGCTGTGTCTGTAAGCCCTTCATCGCAAGCGACGGGTTCGCCAAGAACGGTGACCGGTGCTTGAGGTACCTAAAAGCAGCGTTAATGGATCGGGAGGATCCGTAATGACGTGTTTAATGCCTATTCTATAGTATTCTATAGTTCCTCTCTTATTCTTCTGTTCCCAAATCTTCTCTATTACAATAATTATGAATTAACTGACACCGTTTTTGCGCTTTATTCATTCAACCCTCTTCGCCATCTTGCTTTCCTCTGTCATTCTCTTTTCCCTTTCTTACCGTTTTCTCTCACTCACATCGTAACGCTCCGTGCCACACCCATTTCATACGTTTCGTTCTTATTAATCTTTCATTAAGATACTGTATTCGTATTTCTACAGTTTTCGCGACACAATCAAAACTATAATAATATGTACATTGTAATTTTAGAGAATTTAGTTTTAAGCCGCGAGATTGCATATCTGTAGCTGTGATTGTGAACATGAAATATTAATATTTTAGAATAAAAAAACAGATATATTCACGTTCAGTATTGCAATTCGCATTCCCGAGGATGCTTACAGATCTTAATGCCATGACCACTATACTAAATTTAAAAATCAAAATCTTTGCTGAAACACGTGATTTAGCTGTATTAATTACCGAATATTTCCTGATGACAGTGCGTGCTTCAAGCAAGCTGGTTAAAACTCGTTGAAGAGCGGTGGTTTTGAATTGACATGGCAAGTGGTCTGTGTGTTCCGAAAATTTTGTGCTTAGTGCGATTTTTTTTCCAGCGGGTCACGATTCCGATCCAGTGGTAGATTTATTCGCGAAGCAGCTGCTCTTGAGTTGTTAGGTCTGCCTCGGAGGCATCCGGGGATCTATTAGCAAATCCCACCCCTCCTGGCTGAGCCTTTGCTCGCCCATCCATCCTGGTGAACGTTAAGACACTTGCATTAAGCGCACATTACCAGATGGGTCATCTTGGTTTGAACACCCACGCTTGTAGAGAATTGGAGAGACTCCAGAGAAATGGATAAAGTTTTTTTATTGCTTAGATGAGTTGACGAGCTCACAGCCCACCTGGTGTTAAGTGGTTACTGGAGTCCATAGACATCTACGACGTAAATGCGCCACCCACCTTGAGATATCACCTTCAAACCGAAACGCATTACTGCTTCACGCCAGAAATAGGTTAGGTGGTGGTACCTACCCGTGCGGGCTCACCAGAGGTCCTACCACCAGTAGAAGATCGTAAGAACCCGTATTTCCGTTCAAGAATACAACGGTAAATCACATAATTACGAAACGAGATGCAGAACCGAAGCCTTTAGAATAATTTTACGACGTGAAACAATAAAAATAAAAGCATAGCGCGAATCCGCCGATGACTCATTAGCGTTACGTCGATTGCATCGTAGTGACTCAGGTTTTTTTATTATTTGTTTAATGGCCGAAATAAACCTCTCACTGTATTCATTTAACACACATTTAACATTTCTATTTAACGAGAAGATCCTGTGCACGATGTGTATTGAAATATTGTTAGGAACGTTAGTGTATAAGAAGATCTTTCAAAGATGCTCTGTGAGATGTAGGTATGTATATCGATGGTACACATAGAAAGTAGGAAAGTAAACAGCTCAATACGTAGCTGGACCAGGACAGCTTGTCGCTTTTATTTTTATTGCCTTTGTAGGCAGACGAGCATACGGCCCACGTGATGGTAAGTGGTCACCGTCGCTCATGGACGTCAGCAATGCCAGGGGCAGAGCCAAGCTGCTGCCTACCATAAAGTACTCTCCGCAAGCCTCGTTTGAAGAAGGACATGTCATAGCGCTCTGCTCATTCCAAAGCCGGATGGTACGTGGCAAAAAAGATCTTTTGAACGCACTGTCGATCAAGGCAGCGGTTTCAGATAATATGGATGAGCTCTGCTCCGGTGGCGGGAAGTGTCATGATAAAAATGAGATGAGGGAATCGAAAGATTCCGTGGCGCCAAAGATCCAAGAAAACTGACGTCAGTTTGAAGAACAAGCTAAGGTAGCATTTTCCGTCGCATTTTCGTCCGGATTTTCGTCGTCGCTGTCGTCGCCGAACATACTGTGGAAGAGCAACCCGGTTGGCGGTGTATCGCGTTCCGACCCGGCAGGCTAGTTCTGGCCCAGCGGGCTATCCCGGAACACAAGCGGCATCGCCTGGGCGGCCTGGTAGGGTCGCCGTACCGCGGAGACCGACGTCGTTGTCGTCGACTATCGCCTCGACGACCCGTCAGTCGGGCCTCCTCGGGGTGGCGTGTCTGGTTGTAGTGTTGACCGCGGGAACCCTCCTACTCTGAAAGGGTTCTGTCCCCGGATGGAGATCGGACGTCGGGTGTAAGAGTGCAGGGGAGTCGTTTAGTGGGTGGGCCCTAAAATCCTTGGGCCCGCGATCTGCTCTCAACACCTGCAGATCGTTAAGTCTCACACACCCCGCGCGTCTCCTAGGCGCGGGGACCTCGAAGGAGGTTCGGCCCCTGGCCCGAAAAAAAAAAGCCCATAGACATCTACAACATAAATCCCGTCAACCACTTTGACATATGAGTTCTAAGGTCTTGGTACAGTTGCAACGGCTGCCCTGCCCTTCAAACCGAAACGCATTACTGCTTCACGGCAGAAATAGACGGGGTGGTAGTACCTACCCGTGTGGACTCAGAAAACGTTCTACCACCAGTAAATAATAAAATTATAAATAAAAGTCATAAAATCGAATCATCTTTTGAAATG